AGCCCGGCGCCTCCCGGAGCCGCGCACGGCGACGGAGAGGCCGCAGCCCCGCCCGGGCGGGGAGCCCTGCCCCGGCCTGCGAACGCACCGCACCTCCAGGAACCGACACCGCGGGCGCCGTGCCACGCCCGAGGCCGTTAGCGCCCACTCGGAACCTGCCCGGTGCGATACAAATTGCAGAGACACCGCAGGCAGGAGGAGCTAAGAACAGTACAATGGTTGCGCCGTTGTCTCGAGCCCCAGGGTCCGTTACCTACCCCTCCCGAAGAACAAGCGATCGCCTAAGGCAAGGAACCCTCCGTCCTCACAGAACTAACTGACGGAGGAAGGATCGTGACGCCTGGTCACCTTGCAGAAGTTGACGATGGAAACACCTGGATGAGCAGATAAGCCGCAAGGATGCTGACGTATTATGATGCTGCAAGACCTACAAAAATATAGTCGCCATGCTGCACCACACTTAGATGGGTAATTAGAAATATGCATTAGACGGTAACGGGATGATTCGTATCACAGCCTTGCAGCGTAGGGTATAAAACCCCTAAAAAGCCCCTTGGGCCTGCAGAGTCGCATCCCAGCCTCTCTCCTGGGTTGGCACGCCAGTTACAAATGCCATTCCTGACGCCGAGAAGCAGCCCCTTCCCCAGACAGACAAAGCCTCCCACACTGAATTCAAGTTCACACGCGTCAGCCATGCAGTGCTATTAGGTGGGTTTATTCGGCAAAGCCAACCTCGTTGACAGCATCTGGGCTGTTTTTTGAGCATGAATCAGAAGCCATACAGATAGCAAAACAACGTTTATTAAAGGCACGGAGGAAAATGCAAAAACATGAAACGGGGTTTTTTAAGAGCTCCTACTTTAGGTATATAAAAAGTAAAACAGTTCACAGTACGTTTAACTATGCCAGTAATACATTTGAACAGGACATTTTGAGTCTACCCTGCCGCCTCCTAGAATTTAAAACAAGGAAAAGAAACAATGAAAATACCTTTTTATCACCTTACACAACTGCAACTAGAGGCATCTACAAACACATAGCATCTCCAAAGTTTTTTGTTTTGCTTTTTTTAACATATGCTGCAGTAAGACAGTAAGGATTAAGTCACTGGAAGTCTTGCTGGATATTTTCCTTGTTTGCTTCCCCATGCTGCTGTTTGATTTGTGAAATTTCATTTTCTAGCTGCACAATAGTTCGTTCAATCTCATAATTTTTACTGACAAGAGAGACCCATCTGGAAGGGAAAAGAAATAAAAAAGCCTTCAAGTGTTATTTAACAGCCCTCTGTTTTAAAATCAAAGACAATTATCGCTCCAAAGAAAGCACAAAGACACCGAATAAAGCAGTATTTTTCTCAGTACATGATAAACCTCAGTGGATATCAATGGTAATTTGAACAACCAAAGTGATAAAAAGTAGTTTTTAACCCTGTTAAACCTTAACATACAAAATTTAATTTACTAGACTCAAATCCACTAACTTCCAATATCTAGATAAAGAAGAGTTTAAGAAACAATTTAGACAGGCAGTTTCAAGCACCTAATATGCCCTCCTTTTCACATCTGTTGCTCATTGATTTGCTCAACCACAGTAACTATTATGTAGACCTGTATTACAAACCCTTTAAAACACTTTGTGCAAAGCAACAGTATTCATGCGATAACATTCTACAATAGTACTAAAAGATCACTGATGCTCTGCATGCAAGAATTTCAAGCAAAAGATACACTTGTGGAAGATTTAACGGAAAAAATCCAGATACTCACGTAGATTCCATTTCTCGTAGCTTAGCCCCAGCTGTGAGCTGCATGTTCTTTCGTTGCCAGTTCAGATCTTGAATGTTTTTCCTGGGGAGAAAGAGATCTATGGGTTTTTTTTTTGTCTCCTTTCTTTAAAATTTGTAGTATCTGCTGCTAATTTCGAAATACACCTAATCCCTAGAAGTACTACCAGAAAACACTTGTGTAGCCAGGACCGTAACTACAACATATAGATGGACAAATCCCAGTACAGGGCTGCACACAGAACCCTGAGACAAGTAAGACAAACAAAAAAACCCCAACAAAAAACCTTCCACTCTACTACAAACAAAACTTCAAACATTCAAGCCTACTGCTCCTGGACAAGTGCAGAAGAGAAAAAGTGTTTGTTCTCTCTGAAAAAAAGTCAGAAAAGCAAAGATGAATGGCTAATCATTCGCAAAATTCAGTAATTCAGTGAAGCACCTGAGAAGTACAGAATACTTAAAATACTTTGGTCTCTAAGTAGTTCTTAGTTCACACTGCTAACACTCATATTCTGTGAGCCTCCTTGCCATACATCGTGGTGTTCTTCAGCCTTCCCAACTTGAGTTCTGCTGCTACCCTCTCCCACACTGATTCTGTCCAAGACAGTAATTCCGGCTAATCTAAACACACAGGTACTGATAAAAGATACGAATCACGATGCAACTTGCCTTCTACCCATGTCCCAGTATACATTCCCATCTTCAGGCTGAAAATGACAGTAGTTCACCTAAATCTGAAAGCTGAAAAGCTTTACTTGCCAAGTCCATAGCATGCTGTCTAAATAAGAGTGAATTATGAAGGTGCATCATTTCAATATAGTACAACCTCCATCCCCAAGTAATCCATCTCTGTAAACTCATTAAAGCATCCACTTTAAAATGATAGGCCAAACCTAACATCAGGGAACGTCTTCGCTGAGACAACTGCACACTAAATAAAAGTCCATCAGCAGTGAAAAGAAAACATGACTGTATTTCAGAGAGGATTCCAACACAATCCATTCTGTTCAAAGCAGAGGTTCAGACAAAACAAAGTCAAACAAAACAAACAGAGTTTGAGTGGAATAGGCATTATGAATGTAGCCGCTTGGGGAGGGCAGGGTCAGATTTCTTAATTATTGTTATTACTGGGTCTTTTTTCCTATGACCACGGCAGCAGCATATACACAAGCCTTTGTATAGCTTGGGGGGTGGGGGAGAGAGGTTCACTTTCCTTCCAACTTCAGTATGAAAATATGAAAAAGAATGACTCACCTCAACTTCTGAAGCTCTTTCTGGGCTTGTTCTATCATATGAACCAGATGTCTAATAGCAGAATGCAAGCAAAGCATTAGGAAAACATACAATTGCTAGATCAGACCCATTTAACCTGCGATTTAACTCTTCAGTTAAGGACACAACAAGCCACTTCAATGCAAACACCAGACAACTTGTTCTCATCTCACTGCAGCCTATGCTTTTCACTCCTGAAGGGAATGACACAATGCCAAAACACTCCCATTGTAACATATGCAGTTTTAAGACATAAACCTTCAATAATCACTATGGTCAGCTCTCGCCATCAGACAGCATCATAAAATCATATCCATTAGCTGATCAAGCTTGTTACTGTATGCTTGTGCTATTCCGACTAGAATGCTACTGTAACATCTCCCTACCTTATCACCCATCTTCTAATTCTAAAATCACCTGTAACCAATTTTTATTATTGTTTCCCTCATATAACATTGTCAGAGCACAAACAGTTCTTTTTGCTTCCTGACACATGTGCGAGCTAATAGATCCTCTACCTGCCCCCCCTTCTCCTAAGCTAAGCAGCTTTGACTTCTCTCAAAGGTTAAGTTTCGCACTCCTTTTGTCTACGCCTTTATCTAAGACTAAGCTAACCCTTCTCAAAAGTGGGCACTAACATTCTCTGCCTGAAATAGCCCTGGTGCTTCCTGCAGCCATACTGTCTACAACTTTTTTTGGCTTTTGCAACAGCTTTTATTAATAATGGCTCCCAGCTGAGCAGTATCAGTAGTAAGTGATCTTTATTTCCACTACTGAATGATCATTTTGCAGGCTGTCATTAGTCCCTTTAGTTATCCTCAATTAAAGCCCATTATCACCAACTGCACCCAAATGATAATTCACAAAATTCAAGATTAGGATGTATTGAAACACAGGCTATTTCTTGGCCACAGAGATGGCTCCCTTCTCTTCCAGATCAGCCTCCTTTTCTTCCACGTATGGCTCTCTCCAAGGGGCTCAGCTATTCCAGGATATGTTCTAAAGATTCCCCACTCGACTTACACAGGAAAACGCGAGAAATATACAGAAACTGAAGTCAGAACTTCAGCTAGGTTCAGCAAAGCAGATGAAGGCCTTACTCGTTGTACACCTTCCAAGCGTTACAACCGTGTTGCGACATTAACTCCAGGTTCTCGATGCGGACCGCCTGGTGCTCCAACTGCGCCATGGAGTTGTTCACGCACTCCTGCCACGCCGTGATATCGTTCTTCTGGCCGGAGGACGGGGCCGGCAGCTCGTACCTAGAACACGCCGCCCGCCCACCTCAGGAGAAGGCCCAGGCCGCCTCAGGCCCAGCGCTCCCCGAGGGCGACGCGGCCAGCGACAGGGGCGGG